CTGCTCTTTGCATCACGATGATCAGTTACCACTACTGTCGAGAGAACTGGGGAGGCTGAGAGTTGAGGTGGCTGCTCTCTCGGAGGTGAGATGATGTGGCAGCAACACGATTAGTATATGGCTACACCTAATACTGGTCAGACTGCAAAGATAGTAACCATCTTCAGGGAGTAGCCATAGCCATCTCCAGCAGTCTTCAGCACTCAGTAGTAGAAGATACTCCAGTTGATTAGCATTTAATGGCATTGAGATATTGTATTGTTCTGGGTGTCTTCAATGTGGTATCTGGCTGCAACCGAACTGGTTATGAGATGTCTATCAGTCCCCATGGTTCGGGTGCTGGTGCCTGCAGCGAGAATAGCCTCCTTTTCTGGGAGTTTACAAGGTCTCAGGAATTAATTATTACCATAGATTAGTTGTGGCTAACCTCTGGGTTCACTTCAAAGCTCCCCAGCTGTCCAATGACTACTATAGTTTCATTTGGAAAGGCTGAGGGAAGGGGAGTGTGCCTGGAGGTTTGTTAAGGCAATTCAAGGTTGTTTCATAGAACTAGACAACCTGATGGACCCTGTACCTCTGTAGGACACCTTTAAGTGAGAAATGCTCGATGCAGCTCAAGAATCAATTGGTGAACGCCCAAAATCAAGATGCTGGAAGCTACTGATGTTTATTGTATGGCTTGTCTGACAGGGAATCGGGATATGCATCGGTCGCAGGTGTGCAGGACTCTGTTGAGAAGGGAAAAGGAAAAGTTTATTGCAGAGGAAGCCGAAGTCCAATTCTTAGTAAATGACCTTCGTCCTGACTATCAAGCCCTGAGAAAGCTGAACTCCAATCCCTCTTCACAGGTGAATGGTTTGCTCAGTAGGTGGCCAAATCATCTTAGATGCTGTTCAAGTGCGGGAACATTGGGCAGAGTATTTTGAGCTGTTGTCCCAGGTTGATCCACCAACAGTCAACTTGGATGCGGGTAGTGCCGAGTATTTCCGTTGCCGGACCCACCCATAAGTGAGGATCTACCCTTCCTAAGGGGGCAGTCTTCAAGCTGATAAGTGGTAAAGCAGCGGGTATCCCAGCTGAACTGTTAAAGGCTGGTGGTGAACCTATGATGCGGGGATTCAATGCTGTCCTGGTTGCCATCAAGCGGTCCAGTACCCTGACCCTGACCTATTGAGGGGTGTGGTCATCCCTCTTTGGAAGAGGAATGGGGATCAATGGGACTGCAGCAATCAGTATACCAGGCAAGATTCTCACTTACATCCTTCTGAGATGGATCAGAGACCACCTGCTGAGGCACCAAAGGCCTGAACAATATGGATTCACTTCTGGTAAGTATGCAATAGTTCGTATTCTGGCGCTTTGAGTAATTGAAAATTACGTCATGAGTTCAGGCATGGGCTGCTTGCAACCTAAATTGTCCTTAAGAAGGCATTCGATACAGTGCATCAGGAATCACTCAGGGAAATCCTGAGACTGAGAGCAATTCCGAGGATTATTGGATTAATAACAAGTCGGTATACTGGTACTGAAAGTGCTGTAAAGTGTGGTGGGGGGCCTGTCGAGCTTCTTTCCTGTTAGTTCAGGAGTGAGGCAAGCCTGTGTCCTTAAACCATCACTATTCAACACTTGTATGAACTGGATACTGGGCAGAGCTACTGTCCAAAGTTATTGTGGAGCAACTCTGGGCAATATCAGAGTTACTGACCTTGACTTTGCTGATGTTGCTATTCTATCCATGATTTTGGAAACCTTAATGGTGGCTCTGGATGCATTTAGAAATGAAGAGAAGCCCCTGGATCTAGTGGTCTCTTGGACTAAGACTAAGATCCAAGACTTTGGGGACTTGCTAGAAGAACCTGTTTGGTTGGTACGTGCGTGCACGAGGAAATTGAAGTCCCAGAGAGTTTTGCATATCTTGGTAGTGTAGTTCATAACCCTGGGCTGTCAGACCAGGATGTCAGTAGATGGATTGGCCTAACAGCAGGGATCATAAATTCTCTCGACAAGAGTATTTGGAGATGCCAGTACCTTGCAGAAGGACCAAGCTATTCGCTTTCAAGGCCCTGATAATGCCAGTTTTGCTATATGGTAATGAAACCTGGACATTATCCTGCGCCTTGTACTCTCGTCTTGATACCTTCTGTAATAGGTCCTTCTGCCGGATCATGGGGTACAATTGGAGATACCACGGTCCAACCAACGGTTGCATCGTGAGACTGGCATTAGACCTGCACAATCTGTGAACGCCAACTCAGGATATACAGCCATCTGGCTTACTTCCCACGGGATGATTCTGCCCACCAGGTTGTCTCTGTATGAGACAACCCCAGGTGGAGGAGGCCTGTGTCACGACCTAGGAACCGTGGCTTGGACAGATCGATCAAACCTGTTGTGAGGAGCTCGAGATGGGCCCAGTCCCTGCTTGGTGGATCACCATGAGGGATCTCCGTAGGTGGAAACGCACACGCACGCACACACACACACACATATACATACGCACACACACACACATATACATACGCACACACGCACACACACACATATACATATGCACACACACATATACACACACACACACACATATACACATATGCACACACACACACACACACACACACACACACACACACATACACACACACACACATATATACATACGCACACACACACACACACACACATATATATATACATACCTACAAACACACACACACTACATACGCACACACACACACACACACACATACTTACGCAAACACACACACATATACATACGCACACACGCACACCCACACATATACATACGCACACATACATATACACAGACACACATATATACATATGCACACACAACACACCACACACACACACACACACACACACACACACACACACACACACACACAAACACATACATATGTGCACACACACACACACACACGAGCTTCTATGTATGTGTATGTGTGTGTTTAACAGAAGGCTTGTTATCAATGAAAAATGATGCTATTATGAAATAGTCAGATGACTTCAATATTTGAAAACGCAAGCAAAAGATTCATTCCAGGGAAAAGATCCGTTGCGTCGAAATCGGGAAAGAGGCCAAGCGACGTGGCGCGACGAGGCACTTGCGCGGAAAATTGGTTTTCTGCGCACGACTCCTCGCCTTTCGCTTCCCGCTCCCTGGGGATGACGGACGCATGGGGGCGCACGGGAATGCAAACAAACAGGCAAACGCAGAAACACACACACACACAAACAGGCGCATTCACACACACACAAACAGGCGCATGCACACAGACACACACACAAACAGGCACATTCACACACACACACACACACACAAACAGGCGCATTCACACACACACACACACAAACAGGCACATTCACACACACACATACACAAACAGGCGCATTCACACACACACACACACAAACAGGCACATTCACACACACATACAAACAGGCGCATGCACACAGACACACAAACAGGCTTATGGACACACACACACACACACACAGACGGACACACATACAAAGACACGGAAATGCACAACCATCCGCTTCCACACACAGCCACACGCACGAACACCCCACAAGAAACGCCATTAGCAACGCGAGAAGCTGCAGGAGCCTCTCTGAAACCGGGAAACAGCCGCTCGCCCGAGGAGGTAGTCGATTTCGTCAACAATTACAGGATATTGCAGACACCAAGAAACCGTTCCCTCAAGCAATTCGACTCCCTGCCCATCTACCTTGGGAAAGGCTAGATCAGTAGCAACTCGAAGAGGTGTCATGACGTCTGATTTTGATGACGTCACGGAAATTGCGATTCTATTTTCATTATTCGTCTTAGTCTTTTCAGTTTTCAAAAATGATGGAAAGTAATGATTTTAATGGCTATGTTTTCATTGAGCAATCATCAAAATAGCCTGTGGATGAGATGAGTGGGCGATTATGTTGCAGTGGGAGTCAAGCCATAGGCCTGTATTTTTTTACTCAGCTTGAAGGAATTAAGCATACCTACTTTTACTAATACATCCATGCACTCAATGAATAAATGAAAGGTATTTTATTTGATGTGTAGGATACCAGACCAACAAGACTTTATGGTCAAAAACGCCTGAAAAGCAATTGAAACTTTAACACTGTTGATATTGTATAAAATGTAAACATGAACATGTGTTATCCTAAAAATAACCCGGCCTGGTATCCTACACATTGAATAAAATACCTTTCATTCATTCATTGAATGCATGGAGGTATTAATGAAAGTAGGTGTACTTAATTCCTTCAAGTTGAGTAAAAAAATATAGGCCTTTGGTTTACCTCCCGCTGCAAGCAATTCCACTTGTGAATCATTCAAGCATAAACATAATCGCCCACTCTTCTCATCCACAGGCTATTTTGATGATTGTTAAATGATAATATAACCATTAAAATAATTATTTTCCATCCTTTTTGAATATTGAAAAGACTAAAATGAATAATGAAACCCATGTGCTTTTTCCAAAAATAGAATTTTGTGACGTCATGAAAATCAGACGCCATGACACCTCCTCGAATTGCTACTGATTTAGCCTTTCCCACTCTCCCTTCCCGCCAAGGGATGTGGGGCCGTAACTCTTGGAAGAGAGGAACAAAAACACTTCTGGCCCTGACCCCGTTCCTCCCAGACTGATGCGAGTTCACCCCCGAAGCACACTGCCCTGCGCGACGCCCTCGTCGGGAAGGTCGGTGTTCCTTTCCCCTGAAGCGGATCCGACCCCGGCACGAGCGCAGCTTTCCTCTCGACAACTCATCGGTCTTCGGGAAAAAATCTCGAATGTAGAGGGAACCGCGTCATCAGTGACTATGGGAAACGCTCGACCTCATCCGTTATCATCCTAAAAAAAGAAAGAAAAAAGGACCGTGGACTCCTCCGTTGGGGAAAGAGTCTGCTTCTTAGCCTTCTGTTCCCCGGAGCTCGTGCGAGGAAAGCGTTGATGAGCTGTGGGCGCTGA